AAAAGCCAATAACCAATAACCAAAATGATTGAGATTTAGAAATTGCTTAAACAATGATGGTATAATAAAACAAAACATGATAATATAGTTTAAATTATGCTATATAAAGAGTACATATTTGAAATACCTATTTGAAAAAATATTAAATAAACAAGTGGAATAAACTATGTATATTGTTTATTTAAATGTAAATTATATTTATAAAATGTATTAAGTTTCTATAAAGTGATAAAGACCGAAAGAGTCAGAGGATCTTGGAGAGTTGATACCTTATAGTGAAGGAATGTTTGCACTTCTGCTGATTATAATGATTTTGGATTTTTTCATTGTAGACCTAGATCAATAGACAATGAAATATGTTGTTTGAACTGATACAACACAATATTTAGGCAAAGAGCTGTTAGGTAGTGACTGTATTCAAACAGATGACTGTAAGGAAATCCTTTGCTGTGTAAGGCAGAATAGATCCAAGTTTCCTTCTACTCTGATTCTATTTCTTCCTGGAACTTTTAAACTTGTTCTATTTTTTCCCATTCCTTTTATTGACAAAGGAAACCTCATGACACAGTAATTGTCAATTATACTTTGATTGGCATACAAATAAGGTTAATCTTGACAGTGAAGTCTTATGTGATATTGTTTGGAATATCAATTACCCTATTAAAAACAAGAAATACTTAAGCCAAATAGGCAATAAAATGACTAAATTTAAAAAGATGTGACATCTACTAACCCAGATGTTAATACCATATTAACATAAACTTTGTTAAAATCTCTCCAAGAAAAAAGAATTATAACACACATTTAAAAGGTACAATGGAAAGTTTAAAGATAACCTGAATTAATGCTTTCTAGCACATCAAGAAGATAATGAAGCCAACAAATAATAGCAGCCTTGATGACCCAGAAAGTGGAATTTGACATAGCTCTTAAAACTTTCAGGATTTAGAAGATCTTACTAGAGAGTAACAACAACAACACAAAAACAACAAATCATTAACACAGAATGGTCTATTGGAAATTATAATGATAGCTTACATGATGTATATGATACAAAAAATAACCAAGAAAACATATGGTTTTGAGCTTAGAAATCTTGTAAAATAAAACTCTCAGATGAGAAACTAATCCCCAGCACTAATCAATTTCAGGAAGCCTAATTAGAGCTGTTAAACCTAATCTCCCAATTTGGCATTTGCCCAAAATGTGGTCAGGAGCACTACTTTAGTGTATAAAAACAGAGATTATCCAAAAACAATATAAGAACATCATTATTTTCTGCATAATGATACAAAGTAGCATATACCTCATAAGAAATTAATGATCCATTTTTGTCTTTTATAAAGATTTTATTTATTTGTTTTTAGAGAGAGGGGAAGAGAAAGAGAGGGAGAGAAACGCTGATGTGTAAGGGACACATCAATCAGTTGTCTCTCACACACTCCCAACTTTGGACCTGGCCTGCAACCCAGGAGTCTGCCCTGACTGGGAATTGAACTGGTGACCCTTCAGACTGGAGATGGGCACTCATTCCACTAAGCCACACCAGCCAGGGCTATGATCCTTTTCTGTTTGAAGAAAAAGAATCATGTTCTTGAAGAAAATGTTCTTAGCAATTATTTCTTATTTTTACCCAGAAGGAAAGAAACATAGAAGGTATGTATTAGTACAGGCAGCTGATGAAATGTACAAAAAAAGAATCAGATTGTTATCTCAAAGATAGAAAGTGTTCCCTTCACAGTTGCCTAATTTTCTACCTCTATACACTCTTCCTGGGTAACCTCGTTCAAATGCATAATTTCAATGACTGCTTGTTTATCTATAAAGCTTCTAAATTACCAAGACTATGATTTCACTACCTATTTTCCTTTTCTTTTTTTTATACTTACATCAGACAAAATAGACTTGATTAATTGATGTTAGAGGGAGAGAAGGGGGTGTGAAAAGAGAGAGAGAAACACTGATTTGATTTTCCACCCATTCATGCACTCACTGGTTGCTTCTTATATATGCCCTGACTGGGGATCGAACCTGCAACCTTGGTGTATCAGGACAATGCTCTAGCCACCTAAGCTATCCAGCCAGTATTTCCGTCACCACTTATTTCCATCAGGAAAACTGACACTTTTAGAAAGTAGCTCCCTTAACTGAGACCCCACGCAAATATGGACAGGACCCATCTATTTTAACTTGCACCCCTCCTGTCTCTCCTAAGATCATCATCTTTGTCTTGTTCTGACTTCTAATATTACTCAATCAGTTTTCATCTTTTACTGTATCTCTCTTTTTACTGGTTTCTTTCCCTGGACATTTAAATGGAATCCAGTTGAATGCTGCTGCTGCTGCCTCTCAATAGCTAGCAAAACGGGCTCGAGGTTTGATGGCATATGGAAATCCAGCCCTCTCCCTAAGATTTCTGCAAATCCTTAGGTGTTTATAATCACAGGCCCCTCCCAGTCCTGATGTGCTCTCTATTCTGCAGCCCTGTCTTCGGTTTCAACAAAATCATTCATACTTAAGACTGTTGGATTTAATCATTGACTTGTCTGAGATGGGGAGGAGGGTGTCATTACCCAGAGCACACTATCTGCCATCTTGCTCACTCAACTCGTGTCTGTTTCTCCACCCTCTCACTTCTCATCCTCTTCATTTTGGATTGCTCCAGGAACACCCAATTAATTCAATTCCCTCCCAATGTCTTGGTGCCAGCCAACTCATTTTCTTTTTCCATACATCATTAACTGCTAAGTTCCATCAACTATTGTCTTGCAATCACTTAATTCTGTCACTTTTATTTTATTTCTGGGTCAACACATTAGTTCAAGTTTCTGTCCCTCAGAAACTTGGTCTGGGCACCCATGGGAGTCAACCAATCTCTATCTCTCTCCTTCCTTCCCTTCCTCTCACTCTGAAGGTCAGAGAGGGGTCGTGGAACCGAAGCAGTATGGTAACTTGAACCTGAACCCTTCTGTTAAAAACAAGACAACAGGCCCCAAATGAAGTTGCTTATGTTAAGTCCCAAGTCACCAAGCTAAGTCTTTATTATAGTTTCGCCTCTCCCAGACATGGAATCTTAAACCAGTCAATCAGGAATCACCTAATCAACACTATTAGGTAATCTTCCTAAAGAAAAACGAACTTGCCATAACCAATCTGCTTTTTGCCTAGTCTAACCTCTTTGTTCCTGCTCCCTTCTGCCTATGAAAGTCTTTCATTTTGTCGAGTTCCTCAGAGCTCCTTTCAATAAGTTCTTTAAAATGTCCTCAGTTCAATTTTGTGTTTTAAAACTTTCAATCCAGTGACCTTGAAGTGTACATGGTCCTCCTGGGAAAAAAATGTGGTTGTCTGTAAAAGAACAGGCTGTCTCAATGAATTCTATCCATCTCAGAAATCCAAATAATCTGACAAACGCCCACCTTTGCATAGTCTTATGCAAAGTGTAATTTATAAGGAAGGCATTGCTCTTATAATTGGCAAGAAACTGTTACCCTGAGGGCTGAGAGGATCCACGTGGCCAGGTAACACACCAATCAACTATGTCTGAAGAGCTGGACTTCCTGGAAGGGAGACTGGACCAGGAGAGCTCAGTGAGGCAAGGAATGGGCCTAGGTGGCAGCCTGGAATGCTTAAGTAGTGATGTCAGGAACTGTTTGGAACAGCAGAAGAGGCATATTTTGGGGTGGCATATTCTGATGCTCTTTGATATTAATGTGGCTTACTTTTTAGCTTATTACTTTTTGCAGTTCCTCATATTTCTTTCTCTATTAGGTAGGTGATCAACTCCTTAGGAAAAAGACCTGCCTTATTCACCTGCTTGACCTCAGGAGGGAGCTCAGGCATTAAATATTAGGGGAACCTATCACACCTCTTACTCAGTCCCTAACTGCTATGAGTGTGCAAACCACTCGACTTTTTATTTTCTTTTTGTTTTTTTAAATGGATTTTATTGGGTTTGCAAAACCATATAGGCTTCAAGTGTACAACTCAGTAAAATATAATCTGCACATTGTGTCTTGTGTTCATTGTCCCAAGCAAAGCCTTTTTCTGTCCCCATTTTTCTCCTCCTTGCCCAACTTCAACTAGCCCCCACCCCCCTTTCCCTCTGGCTATCACCACAGCATTGCCTGTGTCTATGTGTTATGTACATATGTTTTTTAGTTAATCCATTCACCTTCTTTTATCCATTCCCCTACCCCTCTTTCCCTCTGACTTCTAATCAGCCCCCAATTGGTATGAGTGTGCAAACCAAACACTCAAATTGCTAGAATTATTTTAATATGAGGGTAACAAGCTTTATGACTTATTTTGTATGATATATTTTGTCCTGAGGTCTTTGCTTCCATCCCCATTCTAGGATGCATTCAAAATAAGTCAAATGTCATTCAAAAGAGAGGCTAATTTGTTGAGAAACGCAATTTGCTGAGAAATACCTAATTTTCTTAACGTATGGTTTCTTTGCATTTAAAAGAAAAAATTCAGTAGAATTCGGTACCAAGGTCAAAATTTAAAAAAAAAATAATTAAAGTTTTTCTTCCGTTTTATTTATACCAGTGATTTAACCTGCAATAACCTGCAGCTGGTTCCCTTTTAATTCGTAGACATAAACAATTGTTAAAATTGAGATTTTGTCACAATTTGGCTTTTTAAAAAAGCTAAATAAAATATCTAACTATACAAACGGCCAAGGTGTCGTTCCTGTACAACTCGCTCTTCCCAAATATTTTGTAATCAGAGCTGTGTTTTGAAAGCTCTTTGCAAAACTAAACACAAGGATCCTCAGGAGACCCTAGGCCAGGAAATGCTTTCAGCCGGGTCCCAATGTCACCCCTCAAAGCGTGGGGCAGGAAAAGCCGGCCACGGGAAACGACTGAAGGCAGCCAAAGACGGCAGAGGGGCCACCCTGCTCGGGGCCGAGGCGGGGAGCCCCAACTCTCTGCGGCCCCGGGGTCGCGGCTCCGCGGCTCCTCCCACTCCAGCGTGCAGCCCGAATCCGGGTACCACTGCGCGTCGGGGCGTCCCCTTCCGCCCCTTCCGGGTCCCCGGCCTGGGCATGCAGCTCCTCCGGGGACTGCGGCTCTGGGGGCTCGGCCCCTACGTAGACCAGCTCGCCGCGGCCCGAGCCCCAGCCGCCTGCAGCGGCCCCCGCCCCAGCGCACCGCCTACTGGGCCCCGGCCCCGCCCCAGCCTCCGCTTGGCGCGCAGGCAGGGGCCGCCGAACCGGGCCGCCACTACTGCCTCCGCCTGCCGAGCCGCGCTGCCCACTAGTGCCGACACCATGGAGCGCCCCGAAGCGGGTGAGCCGGGGCTGCCCAGCTGGCCGAGGGGGCTGACCGGAGCCGGGGGTCCAGGGCCCCACTCCGACCTCGGCCTCGGGGAGGGCTCCGCCTCGCCCCCGCGCCCCGGTCCCCCTCGCGTGGAGCGTGACCCCGCGCGGATTCCCTCCGTAGCAAGACTTGGCGTACCACCAAGCAGCCTGGTGCCGCCGGTTGTCACCAGTGCTACTCGTAACTAAGCGGTTTACTGCGCGCACTGTTGATGCAACGGGGGCGATCGGTGTGAATGCACCCAAGGTTTCAATTTCATTACCCCCTTTATGATCTTGTGATCCTACTTAGTATAGACTTCATGCCAACACACACTTTCCGACGGTGTGTGGTTAGCAAAACCTCGAGAATCTCGGCTTTTATTCTGTATCATAAACATGAAAGACCTGACCCACCATAGCGTGTCGTTGAAAACTTGATTCTAAGTGTTTGAAGGAGACCTTTTTAAACTGGTGCCAAATTTGTAGTAGGGCCCAGAATTAATTTCCAGCTTAGGTCAGCATTTACTGCGAAACCTAAGAGCCAGTTAGGGGTTGGACTTTAGGTGAAAGGGACAGAAATCAGTTAGACAAAAGGTGCTCTTCTGCAAGCCCTTTGTAGTGTAAACGCAGAAAAAGATAAAAAACATTAAAAGGTTAATTGTATTATATAATAGCTGTTAACTAGTGTAAATACATTTACAATTCTCTTGGGAATAAAATGATTAAGGCTGTGGGTGGGTCGGAGGGTTTGGGTGGTTGAGCATCTCTGGGTTTTTTCAACACAAAGTTTAAGATATTTTTGGAGGTTACTGTTTCCTTGCATTCCTTTTCAGGTATTATTATCTTATTTCGTCCATTTCTCTCTAGCAATTGCATTGTCCTTTTATTTTTATGATGAGGAAACTGGAGCATGGAGGTCAATGACTTGTTGATTGTCACGCAGCTGTCAGCATTTATCCAGATGTAAGATGCTACTGTTTTTACTAGTTAAGCCAGGACTAGCATGGATGGCCTGGACCCTGTCCTTTGGTTCTTGGGGAATATACCAAACATATATACTTAGTAGAGTGAAGAGTGTTGCTTAATAAAGTCATATTTTATTATCCAAATAGGAAGCTGGCATTTTGTGTGGCAAAGAGCAAACTGCCCTTTTTCGTCCCTACTGGACTGTCTATGATGAACTCATTTGTTGCAGTTCACATATATTTGAATATTAGTGTACACTTAGTGTATGGTTTTTAAATACATTTAAAATGTATACTTTTTTCTTACAAAAGTAATAATAATTCTGTTTAAAACATTTGAGTAGAAGAAAGTGGGAAAATACCAATGTATTGAAGACAACTATGCCGGCATTTAGAAATTTATATCCTTTAGGCTTTTCCTACCTAATTGTAATCGTAGTGTTACATTTGCTTTTTAAAAAGTCAAGGTTTGGTATACACTTTTTTTTCGGTTGTTGCGGTCTTCATAGCCATTATTCTTAGTTGCCATTAGAGTGAGTACATTTTGTGTAATCGTATCCCTATTAGGCATTTAAGCTGTTCCACTTTTTCTTTTTTGTTTAAATAAAGCTGTGGTGAATCTGTCAGCATACTGTATATGACACATATATGATATATACAGCATACTGTATATGTCATTAAGAAGAACATTTTCATGGCTCCTGATCTGTTGCCAGACTGCTTTCTGAGAGGATAATTTCAATTTACAGAACTATGAACTGTGTATATTAAGAGGCAGCAGGACATGTTGCTCCCCTTCACTGAAAGAAGTGAAGAAGTTACTTAATTGGCTAGTCTGTAAAATCATTATAATAATATTGGGTTGGCCAAAAAGTTTGTTCGTCCCCCCCACCCCCATAGGATGGCTCTAATAGTGCTTAGTTGTCTTTAAGTTCATTCGAAATAGTTTTGTTAGATTGTATTGGGACAGCTGTCGTATCAGTGTGCACTTAGAAAACTTATCAAAATTGGTGAAATTTTGTGTATCATTTTAATATTGAAGATGGAAGAAAATAAGCAATATTTTGGACATATTATGCTTTATTATTTCAAGAAAGGTAAAAATGCAACAGAAACACACAAAAAGATTTGTGCAATGCTATGACTGATTGAATGTGTCGAAAGTGGTTTATGAAGTTTCGTGCTGGAGATTTCCCCCTGTACTACCCTCTGTGGTCACTGGGGTAGACCCATTGAAGTTGTTAGCGATCAAATAGAAACATTGAAAACAATCAAGGTTCTACCATGCGGGAGAAGTGCCCACATACTCAGAATTTTCAAATCAATGAAGTTATTGGTGAAAATGAAAAATGTCTTTTATTTTGTGGAAAAAAACATACTGACTTTTTGGCCAACCCAGTAGTACCTCTCTGATAGCATGGTTGTGTGGAGATACTAGCTGTAAAGTACTTCTCTAGCTGTGCTTGGCACATAGTACAGACTCATAGTATTGGCTGCTGTTGTGAGTAGTAGTAGTAGTAGTTTGCCAGTTTGACCTCGTTTTTATGTTATTAGTGCACGTCAAAACATTGATTTTATTTGGATTTTTATAAAAGATAGAATTTTATTTTAACTAAGGTTAGGCCAAATTTTAAGTACTGAAAACAATGAATTTACAGTTTAAGTTCTTCATTTAAGGGTCAGTTATTTTAAGGCAGTTACTAAAAATAAAATATGTATACCTTCTATAAAAGTTATGATGGATATGTTTGTCTTGGATAATTATTGTCTTCCAGCCTCTGCCTAATGCTAAAGCTTAGATTAGAGAAGTGAAAGAAGGCTTCTAGATTTGAACCCTGTTGAGAAACATTGCTCTATAGAATGGCCAGCAGTTCTTTCAAGAGTTACTGGAACAAAATGTTCTCTTTTTCCTGAGTTAATAATTAAGAACTATAAAAAATAGTTTCAAGTATTCTGCAATGTAATGGAACAAAGTTCATTTTTCATGTTCTAGACTCTTGTGGATTTTGACATCACATTGCCATCAAGAGTTTCTCTATGCTTTATTTAAGATGGAGAATGGTGTTGAGCAAGTCATATTATGCGTCAGTATTTGTTTTTTTGTCATACGGGATGTAGTACCTTTCCTTCATTCATTCTGTGAAAATGAGAATCTGATGTGTCGAAGCTGCGTTTAAGCAGCAGGAGCTATTTTTCGTGGGTGTTGCGATAAAGCTATATTGCAGCGCAGATGGAATAATTTATTAGCCACTCCCAAATGTGTATGTGACCTTTATTCAGTCATTTAGTACAAATGTATTGATCACCTACTGTGAGCTGAACACTGTTCTAGACATTGAGGAATCCAAGGAGAATAAGACATGGCACTTACGAAACTTAGAGTAAGATGACCCTACTAACTGATAGGAGTGTAATTATGAAAAGCTTCCCTATTCACTTTCAAAAGTGTCTGGGTTTGGGCTGCAAACTGTAAGTCCCTTTGCCTTAGAGTCTAAAGGGGAAGACAGCCACGTGAGCATCTGTAACAGGATGTGTTCGTGCTGTGACAGGAGGAAGCACGATTACCTAGAAGGAGACTGCATTACCTAAGTCAGCCCTGAACTGGGGATCAGGAATGATTGCCTTGATAGTTAACGCCTGGTTCGAGTTTTTGCCTTTAAACCGATTGTTCTCAGTCGTTAACACAGTCCCTTAGTCTGGTGTAGAAACAAAGTATGACAGAGGTGAAAGAGGGGGTTTTCTAGGGTAGTGTTTTTCAAACTTCCATTGCACATTAGAGTCACCCTGCAAGGCTTTACAGAAATACAGGAGGCTGGCCCGATCCCCAGAGATTGTGATTTACTTGGCCACGGGAGGGAACAGACACTGGTAATTTAAAAACACCTCCTTAAGTGATTCTAATGGGCTGCCAGGGTTGAGAATTTTTCAACCACGATGGCCTTGTCATGTAAGAGATCAAATAACTGCTGAGGCCTAGGTAGTTCACACGAGTTGCCCAGGATCACACAGCTAGACTGATGTCTAGTCTCAAACCCTTTCTGTTACAGCAGCCAGCTTGCCTTCATCATTTACCTAAATGCCACTGTTGTCACCCTTGTCACTGCATGATTCTCTTTTTGGTACAGCCAGTGACCTGCATAACTCTTGTTCTCTGTTGTTGATTAATTGAGCATAACATACTAAATGTTAAACTATTGCAAGAACTCTTTTCACTAAAGAAGGTGACTAAATTTAATTAACCATGCTATTTAATGTTCCTTCTTGACTTCAGAATGTGTCATTAGAGCATAAAGGTTCACATAATGCCAAGAATCTAGTATATTTCCAAGTGGCCCAGGGATGTGGGAGCTAGTATTAAGATGTCAGTGTTAAATGGGCCAATTTCATATTACTGTGTTCTTTTCCCCCTTTAGCTTTATTGAGGTATAACTGACATGTAAAATTGTATCAGTTTAAAGTGAACAGCCTGATGATTTAATATAAGTATACACTATGAGATGATTATCACAATCAAGTTAATTAACACATGCATCTCCTCACATAGTTTTGTTGTGTGTGTGAGAATGCTTAAGATCTACTCTTAGTAAATCTCAAGTGTATAATACAGTATTAACTATAGTCACTATGCCGTACCTTAGATCCTTAGAAATTATTACTAATTACTTAGATTAAGAATAAAATAGAGAACAACAAGTGTTGGGTTTATTTCATTTTGTTCTGACTTTCATTCAGACTGTGCATATTGAATTGCACAAACACTGCTCTTTGTTGCTAGCTTCCCAGGTGTAAGTCCCATGGTCAGTGATGGTCCTTTACGTGCAGCTGCGTGTGCCCAGAGGTACAGGATACACATTTATCTGTTACAGCTTTTGTATTGGTCTGTTAGAATTTTTGTCTAAGAATAAAGTGTAGTTTTCAGTGCAAGCATAACAATAGAAAGGAAACAGTTACTTGTTCTTACATATTTAAAATAGTTGCGAGTTTATGATTAGACTCATAGTAAACTGGAAGGTCTTTTGTCTTTTAATCATTGAATTTCCATAATAGTATATTTAGAGCCATATATTTTTTACTGAATTTCCAATTTTACTGTAATAATGGAGAGAAAAGATTTAAAAGTCTTTACTGAAGAAAAAAAATAAAGGTCAGAATTTATATGAATGAGAATACATAGTGATATTGTTAAAAAATAAACATGAGAAAGGCCTGCAAAACTGTGTTGGTCTGTTTTCAAAAGGTATGTGAAAAAATATAGGTTTAGAATTAAGAAAATATAGCTGTGAAAGATCTTGAAGACTGTTTTTTACTAAGTCTTCATCTAACCCTGATTTGAGTATAGTGCTTCAGAAAGTTATTACAGCTGCTTAGCATAAAAGTGCATTTATGAAAATGTAGACCATGGTATACATAATATTAATATAAGTAGTTTCATATATTTGAATAGAAGTGGTATCATTTCTTAACATGTTAATTTATATTGAAGTCAGTTAGTTATTTTTAGCTTAGGATATAAGTTAATTATGTTTAATAATACATCTTTCTTCTTTCTGATATGTTAAAGAAGGAGTAAATTCCAATGGTTGTGAAAATATGTCAAGAAAAAGGGAAATAGCAGAAGAACCTGAAGCCAATACTATGGATCCTCTGGTAGATATGCCATTCGCTACTATAAATATTAAAGATGATTGTGGAAGTAAGTACTTTATTAAATAAATATGTATTTAGAAACAGTAGTAAATTTAGCAATATATGTATATATTTTTTCTTAATAAATTTACCTTAAATACTTGCCATGTTTTTGAGTTTGGGTTAATTTATGGTTATCTGTTGGTATTCTATTGTCAAAACTATCACAGGGAATATTAAGACATGTCCCAAAGTTTGGGCCAGATCATCCTGTAGTTTATAAGGAACTTCAGCAATCAGTGGGGCAGCACACACCGTAGTTCGTGGCCTCCTTCGGTTATTCTGGAGCCAGTGCTGATTTCAGCAGCACCTGTTCATGTGACAACCGTTTACTGGCCCTTTGATGTGAGCCAGGCACTTTGCTAGGCATTTGGGAGAGTCACCAGTGAGCAAGACAGATATTGTCCCTGCTGTTGTGGAGCTTAACAGGCTAGTGTTGAAAACAGTTAAACTTTTAATCAATTATGCATTTATTAGACTGATTAGTCCTTCAGAGCTCCATCTACAGACTTTAGAGAACTGATGCTTACTTGATTAAAGTGCTGCTGGAACTACATAACTCTCTAAATCTGAATTTCCTGTCATTGTGAAAACAGTTCTGTACATGATATGTGAGGCTACCACCACTGAAAATGTGACATATTTGCTTTTTGTCAGTTACTTGTGAATAGGAAAATAAGGAAAAGCACCAGTGTATTCCACGTATATTTATTGACTATATATTCCGTGCCACCCACCATTTGCAGCCTTACCTAGAACCTTGCTATGAGTTGATATAGTTTTATCTTGACTGGGGGTCTATAACTGGAGGTAAGAAATTATCTTGTTCAATGTCTTCATTTTTGAGAAGAGAAAATGAGACTCAGAGAAGTTCATCAACTAAAATCACACAAATGAAAAGAACTAGTTATGAAATCTGTCATTTCGGATTCATTAGTCATTTATTTGATGAACATTCATTGGATACCTGACAAATGCCAGGTACTGGTGCCAGATATTGGGAAAATTGAAACACATAACAGTGTTGAAATACTTGACCATCAAAAACTCACAGCTTCAAGGAGGAGCCAATATATTAACAGCCCTAATTCCAACAGATGGATGCCATGCAAGGTGCTGCGGGAATCCATGGGGTGAGGACGTGTGTGAAGAGGGGTATAAAACCTGGACATGGGGGTAAAGGAGTCCTGGAAGGCTCCCCAGAGGTTTGAGAACAGCGGAGGAGGCCTGGCCGATGAGTGTGAACTCTCCAGGATTCTTTCCTCTGTGCTAACCATCTTGAACTTACCTGATCATCGGAATTTTCTGTGGAGTAATACAAAATTGCAGATTCCTCTTTTCCACCTCTGTGTCAGGTGGAACCTTTTTGTTTTATTTTTTAAGTATCCCGTGAGCATTCTGATGCTCACACGATCTTCCAATATAGGAAAGCTGGGTTACATTTTGGGGAGAAGTAAGGGAGGGGTGCTTAAAATGTATGAAATCTCTGGACTCTTATTAGTTAGTTTTTCCTATTCCATAATATTAAGGGGAAAAGGAAGTGTGAAGAGGTGTTTGCTCAGTCAGGACCCAGGTTTCCCATCTTTTCCTTTATAGTTGGCCTGTAGAGAATAGCTTTTATGGTTTTCACAGCTGTTAGAAAAACCATCGTTTGAAAAATCAGTATGCCTGCTAAGTAGAAGATACCCTTTGGAAATGAGAGGCAAGAATAGCAGTGATTTAATCATGTTTTCCTCCTAATGTCCTACTTTTGAGCAAATGAAAGGAATATATTTAAAAAATGCAGTCCCATCTTTCTGATTTCATTACTCCCTCCAATTTGGATATAAAATGAAGAAGAAAGCTCCTGAGTAATCGTGTCTGCGTGCCATGGTGGGCATCTCCCATCCACTCTTCTTCCCTCTGATCTTTGTTGAGGTCTCTGAATCACTGCCTCTGAGTGCTCGTCAGTAAGATGGAAAAAGAGATCAGACGTGTCTACCATTCTGGCTATCGGTACTTCTGACTTACATGTATCTGATATACATGAAACAAACTGCTTCTTCTACTGGGGATTGAGAGTGATACTACCACAATCCCAGAAAGCAACTAGTATTTCTATAGCTACTGTCTTCTTATATCTCCACTGGTAAGGAGAAACAGTGGCCAGGGGGACCAGAAAGAAGGGAGGGGATGTATCAGTGGTTCTGCAGTCCTTTCTTGCTCTCAGAGGTACAGCCGCTTCTTCAGAGAATGGGTGTCGGGAAGATCAGCCAGTCCTTCATAGGACTAGGGGTCTTCTCCTGCAGTACGTGGTACATTTCTTAGCAAAGATGTGATCTTATCCATTAAGTTAGGGTCTTGCTCAGGTCACCCCACAGAAATCCATTTTTGGGCGTCTAGCGCTGTACCACTTTCTGATAGTTCAGACTTTGTGAGTTAAAAGTCTTTGTGGCTCAGTCTAGACTCCAAACCACCATGTGTCATATTAACCTTTGTGGGAAGATCGATTTCAAATCCCAAGCTTCGGCTTGCACATAGTCAGTGTGGTATAATTAGAGAAACAGAAAACTTGGGTTTTAAGTTTTGGTTACTTCATTTTCTCCTTTGTGACCTTGGACACTTAAATGGTGTGAGCTGGGCTTCTTCAACTGGGAAACGTGGGTCATTTCCTTCTGTTTACCTCATGTGGTGCTGCTGTGCAGGTCAAAAGAGGTAATGTGTGGAAAGGCAATATTTTTAATTGCAAAATAATGTACAAATGCTACTTATTGAACCCTTGAAGTGTATCCCGTAGTTCCTTGGGGACAACTTGTTCTCTCAGTTTTATAATAGCATTTAGTAAAACACAAAGGAACAAATAGTAAAGTTCTTTGCAAACCAGAAACTGATAACTAGTTTTTGTGAAGAGAGACTTTTATAGAAAGACACAAAATGTGGGATTTTTGTTGTCAACCCTTAAACCTTACGATATAGTCATAGTGCTTGTGTCCAAAACACAGGACAATTCGTTGGTAGCCTGAACGGATTTGGGGCTTTCTCTTACATTTAGTAACATGGAAATTTAATCAATTGAATGGCTCTGTGGTAGACTACAACCTTAAAATTCTCAAGTGGCTGGTTGTTGCCTTTGGTTCTTTCAGTTTCCTTTGGTGGGTGGAAATTGTGAGTTAACTGCCAAGAAATTCTTGCTGATTGAAACCCTGGCAGAGCGATGGGGAAAGTGGTGCTAATAAGAACACCGTGGGAAGGGGAACCCTTGCCAGTAGGAAAACTCCTCCCCAGATATTTGGTTCTGAGTGTGTCTGGGTTGCCAGCCGTGCTACCTTCAGTGTGGGTGCAGTACAATTGGGTGTCATGCAGTCTGCTTGGCTGCAATGAGACTATAGTTTCTGAGAAGAGACTATTTTACTAGAATTATATATTAGAGTATAAAATGTACTAGAATATTATTAGAATTAAATGTAAAATATATGATTTTTTTAGAATATAAATATATATTAGAAATAAAATATGCAAATGCATATGCAAAAGAAAATCTTTTAGAAATATTGAGGAAGCCATGTAACCTGAGCCACTCCTCTGGTTCTGTAGGTTGGACGTGTTCTGGGGGAAAATCCAGCATTAGTGAGTTGTTGACCTGGACCTAGATGGGTCTGTTCTCTTTTCAGGGGGAGGTGTCACTCACAGGTTTGAAACCCAGTAGACCACCCAGAAGATGGGGTTGCTGTTAGTCCTGCCCCTGAAAGGTGAATGAGAGTATGCAAGGGAGAGTCATTTACTGCTGGCAGGAAAAACTGAGTGTGCTTCCCATAAAGTATACATTTGTGCAGAGCTTCAGTTTATTTGATCTATTCTCTTAAGTGAATCATAGCCTTTAACTGTCAAGCCATACTTAATCAAGATTGAAAATGAAGTATTGGAGTGAGGGGTTTTTTTGTTTGTTTGTTTTTTAGCAACATGTCTGTCCTACGTGTGGAATTCAGTTCTCCTCATGTAGAAGTTATTACAGACCTGATCTCACCTAACAGAGAATTCTAACCTTGTAGTTATTGGAGATTTTGGAGATGTGGGAATTATTATTTTATTACTTATTTGTTATTGAATACTATTAAATTGTATTTTTAAAAGTACTTTAACTATTTTAAGTATTTTAAAATATCAGGAAACATACTTTTACCTGAAAAAAATTGTTATAGAAAATGCTGTATCAAATAAAAATTGAATCACTATCTCTGTTATAGTAAGTGATTATCCTGAATTGTTTTTATTTTTTAAGATTTTATTTATTTATTTTTGGGGAGGGGAGGGAGAAAGAGACGGAGAGAAACATCAACGTGTGGTTGCCTATTGTGCACCCTCTACTTGGGGCCTGGCCCACAACCCAGCCTTGGGCCCTAGACTAGGAATCAAAGCAGTGACCCTTTGGTTCGCAGGCCGGTGCTCAATCCACTGAGTCACACCAGCCAAGGCTTAATCTGTTTTTAAAAAGGGTAAATTATGTTCTGTTTCCTGTCTGTAATTGATTGGGGAAGCATACTCCAAATTTTACTATGAAAGACTTAAGGCAAATATTCGTCCCAGATAATACAAAGGGTTGATATCTTTTTCCTTTTTTTTTTTTAAACAAACAGGAAAACAAATACAAATTAGAAAAGCCTAATAGATATATTAATTTACTCAACACTTAATTATTGAATGCCTGCTATGTACCAGCTGCTATTATTGGTGTTAGACAAAGGTGTAGAAGATAAAATTCATTTAGTAGACAAATATATGGAGAGTTATTTAACTTTATAAATATCAAAGGGCATATATTAAAATATGATTATAACCTACCAGATTGGCAATATCTTTAAAAAATAGTAATTTTAATGTCATATCAACGTTGCTCCTGACAGTGTGCTGTTGCAGCTGTTTTAGAATGGAGTTTGTTGAGACCTCTAGCAGTGCTCACATGTGAGAGTCACTCATGAGATTCCCAATAAAAGGACATAGTCTTACTTATGGAGAAAAGTTTCATTCATA